ACTTTTATTACAAAATTGTCAATTTCCCAACATATATATGTTAGGTATGATATTATACGTAATATAAGCTTCAATTTAAGGTAAAATTCAACCATAAACGCTTCCCAAAAAGTTTTAAAGTGTTCTTTATAAAACTAAACTGCCTTTAATGAAATGGCTTTATCGATAAACGTTGAGTTTGCAATAAAATGATTTCAAATTCTCGCATGCAAATAACTTTGCTTTCTTTTAATTTTATTTAAAAAATTCAATATAATAAAAGAGGGATTTAATATTGAAGATACACTGAAAATATATGCTGTCTTGTTTAGTTGTTTCATATACGCAAAGCCAAAGGCCGTCAGGTTTTAAAGCAATTATAAAATCAATATTTAAAACAAACTTACCTTCGTTAACGTCGGGTTCCTTCTTTTAGCCGATTCTTTTGCCATTTCTTTCTTAAAATTTACAAAATCTTGCAAAAATGCGATCAAAAATGAAATATATTTGCAAGAAATTTATCAATCATCAAATCAAGAAATGTTTGCTATTTCGCTGTCGTCATGCAGTCGTTATAATGCAAACTTTAAATTGGACCAATCAGTGTCCGCTATTCATGACAGTCCGCCATATTTTTGAGATCAGTGAGGATGACCACCCACCGAACCACTCACGGTAACCCACGCCCGCGCTCATTGATGAACTTTAGACTTGGCTAATGCTTTCGTTTCCCCGGGTATAAATAGCCGGGGGGAATTAGTACCCTCGCACGGCTCTTCGCGCCGTCGGCTCGGGGATAATCAGAAAGTTCGGAAAAAAAGCAGATGGAACATTTAAGTGAGAAGTGTGAATTTAATATAAGAACAGCTTTTGTGACGCCATTCACCGCATTTTACCTATTTTTAAGTGGTCATAACTCGAATTTGGCTAAATAAATCATGTTACTCGTTTAAATATCTTATATATACTTTTTTATGCTCTTCCTAACGATATAAAGATGCTAATTTAAGTGAATTTCAAATTTTACATTTATTTGGGAGTATAATAATTTAAAGTGTTTATGAAACGAAGTTTTGGCCTCATTTTTGTTGCATGCCCATATATGGGCATGCAACTTTCATGTCTTTCATATAGCTCTAAATTTCGTGTCGCGTTGTGCGTTGTAACGGCGGTGGTAAATCACGTGGTAGATTCGTAAAATACGACAAATACCGAGTTTTTCCGACGAGCATTCTCATCACTCATGCATGCACGTTTTCGTCCACGGCTTTTGTCGAGGAAAGGCAAAGAAAATGTTGATTGTTCGCCGAAAATTTACATAACTAAGCGCCTTTAGGGCGGTTTTCCAGTCCTCGCACGAAGCTCCTCGCAGGTCGCTGCGAGTGCTTGCATCTAATTAAAAATAAGTCTTAAGTATTTTGATTGGATGAAAGTGCTCATGCATCACTCGCAGCGAGCTGCGAGGAGCTTCGTGCGAGGACTGGAAAACAGCCTTTTGGAAGAATAGGTCGAGGTAGGTAAACCGCTGTTCTTATATTTCGTTTAATATTTGTTGTGATTTTGGAGCCGTTGTGCTCGCACTAATTCTGTATCAGGCGTTTATAATGTTTATATATCGAAGACCACGCTATCAAAATACTTATTTTTTATCTGTTAAACTTGAAACGGAGCCTTTGTGTGCAAAACGTCAAAACTACAGTACATTTTGTAAATAACATGAAATATATTCAAAATATCAAACAAAATTGTCATTTTAATGAATATTTTAAAATACAATTTAAATTTATATTAATACAACAAAATAGCATTCTACTTCTCGATATTAATATTACAATCATAGACATAGTCGAGATTATTTTCAATCTATAATATAGTAATTCACCATTTCCACGAGTTTTTATACCGCTAATTTGTAGAGGAAATAATAAAGCTAAATTGTAGAGGAAACATAACAGTCAATCAGTGTTTATATGAGAATTTTGTTTGATATTTTGAATATATTCCTGACATGTTATTTATAAAATACATGTACTGTAGTTTTGACCTTGACCAGTTAGTGATCTTGACCTTGTTAATATGTTATTACCGTTGCTTGCAACTAAGGATGAACAGTCGCTCATAAAAAAAAATTGCCTATTCGCGGGCATATTGTACACACTGGACTGGACTATGTTTGGACTCGACTTTCTATTTACAGTAAGTTTTCGCACAAATCCCCATAATTACACTGACCTGAAAGATCATGTGTCTTAAATCCCTAATTCTATGTTTTCTTCGTCATCGAGAAATCGAGTTTGCGTTCGCGCATCGCAGGCTCAGGGTGCAACGATTACGCCAAAATTATGCCATCGATTCTTCTATTCCACGATTTGTATATTATAGTAACAAGCTCGTATTTATGTACGCAATAGCCGGCTCATGCCATGCTTGTCGTACATTTTTCGTTTATCAGCCCATATATAGACTTGTACGCACGCGCACAATTCCAAACTCCAAGGGTGACATATTCAGTCCAGTTTCAAAGTGGCAGCTTTTGGCTGAGTGATCAAAATATATCTCACATAGGTTCGTTGAATTTTCAAAGAGTTGTGCCGGTTTCCTATGGATTTTACGTTGCGTCGCACACTGGACTTTCTTGCGTGTTGAAGATATCAGTTCGCGATTTTCTCCAGTATTTCATCACATTTACCAGTGAGTGAAATTTGAAGAACCATTTTGAGGAGCTTGCAATCAACCTGACGTTATAAATTAGCGGACATATTCAAACTGATTTACATATCAAACAAATTGAAATATCTCGTGAACAAACCATTAAAAACAAGAAACTGAAAAATTAGTTACGCTACAGCTTAAAAGTGTTCTTTCATTCAAGAACGTCAGAAATCTCATTCAATAGACCCATTGAACTAACGTCACAAATCCTTAGAGTGTCCGCCAGATAATAGAGAGTTTGAG